AATTTTGTGTCATGTGATTTTTACCACAATAAAAAAATATTGGAGAAATAATTTTAATAAAATTGAAAAAATCCAATCAAATGTAGGATGATAAGTAAAAGCACCACATAGAAGTTTTATAGCTAAAGAATATTGTCACTGAAACTTAAAACACAAAGAATGGGTTAAATACATGATTATACTGAGCTGTAGAGTGACTCAGTGAACTGGAAAACAGACCGTAGAAATTATACAGACTACAGCAAAAGGGATACAGAGATGAAAAATCTGAACATTTTAGACACATGAAAGAAAAAATAAAATATCTGACAAACATCTAATATAGGTTCCTGAAAGAGCAATAGAGGGAATGACAAAGATGCAAAGTTCTAGGATATAAGTTTGAAGAGAACAGCTAAAAGAACTCTGTTGAAATACCTCATTACTCAGATTCGGAGAATACAAAGAATTCCCAGTAGATTAAATACAAGCAAATTCACACTGACACAAACTATTGAAACCATAGAACCCTAGAGTCAAACTAAAAGTCTTCTGAGCAAATTTAAAAAAAAGTTTTAAGAGCAAGTGAAAAGATCTGTGAAGTAAAAACAAATAAATTTACAGCAGATATTCCCAAAGCAAAATTATAAGCCATAAAAGATGGAATAATATCTACAAAGGGCCAAGACTCAGAAAAAAAAAAGGACCACAGAAGCTCTAGAATTAAAGTATAGAATTTGAACAAGGAAGATTTTAATGTAAGTTCTTGTGTTAATTGAAAGTTAAGCCTGTAAAAAGGGCAAGTCACAGACCAATACATATACTGACAAAGCACCTATATGCAGCATATATAAAGAATTTCCACAAATGCACAAGTGAAAACTAGTCAACATACTAGAATAAAGTAACAGCTTTCTTCAATAGACTAACCAAAGAAGAAGTCCAAATGGCCAATTAACACATATGTAAAAGTGTTCATAGTCACAAATCAGCATAATGCAAATTAAAACCACAATGTGTACACATGAAGATAGGTAAAATTTAAGATTGACAATTGTTGGGGAGTTTTTGGATCAATCAAACTCTGTTGAGAAAATATAATGTATTTCAGTGAAAAACAATGTGCTATGTATAGTACCCTCCTATGTCATTTGATTCTAGCCTCTTCAAGCTATTTTCTAGCAATGTCATCTATATATAATACATTCTTTTCAGTTATATGATTCTACCCCTATTTATTGTCTTCTAGCTGTTTTCATTTTCACATAAATATGTTTTATTCAGATTATCTTTTAAATTGATTATAACATCTGCCAGGGTCTCTCCTTTAATATAATAAATATAAAGTGTTCATTTTTATACTTATAATGTGACATAATTTTACCAATTTTTGAAAATTAGTTTCATACTGTGCTTTGTATAAATTGATACTACTGCTTTGAAAAACTGGAAGTATCTACTTGACTATATTAGTATCTTATGTGTATACCTTTGCAAAACATGTACATATGTGCACTAAAGACATATGCAAGGATGTTTATAAAATAATTACTTGCAGTAGGCTAATCAGAAACAATCTAAATATCCATGACTGTGGAATAAATATATTGTTATAATCAAAAAGATATATAGCTAGCAATGATAATTCAAAGAAACAACAAAACAAAGTTACAATCATGTCAACCAAAAGAAGCCTGAACAAAAGACAACATATATAATTCCATTTATATGAATTTTAAAAATAGGCAGACCTAATCTATAGCATTAAAAGTAGTTAGCCATAGCCGGGTGTGGTGGCTCATGCCTGTAATCCCAGTACTTTGGGAGGCTGAGGCAGATAGAGCATGAGGTCAAGAGATTGAGACCATCCTGGGCAACATGGTGGAACCTAGTCTCTACTAAAAATACAAAGAGTAGCTGGGCATGGTGGTGTGTGTCTCTAGTCCCAGCTACTCAGGAGGCTGAGGCAGGAGAATCGCATGAATTGAAACTGAGAGGTGGAGGTTGCAGTGAGATGAGATTGTGCCACTGTACTCCGCCCTGGTGACAGAGCGGATAGTGGTTATCATTTTGGGCAGGTGGAATAAACTGGACTAGGACAGGAAGATAGATTCCAAAGTAACAGTAATGCTCTATTTCTTGCCCTGGTTCAGGATGTTTTCACTGAACAAAACTTTATCAAGCAGCACTTGTGTGCATTTCTCAATACATGTTGTATTCAACAAAATATGTATGTTTGTATCTCTAATACACATAGTTGTTTAAGAATAAAATGAAGGTATTTTTAGACAAGGTAGAACATATGACCCACAGACTTTAGCTGAAAAATGTACCAAAATGTATTTCAGTAAAAAGAAAATTGAACTTAGAAGAATGAAGATGCAAGAAACAGTGGTGAACAATTTTTAACATGTTAGAACAATCTACAGAAGTATTGGTGATTTATGTTCAAATCTTGGAGTGTAAAAACAAGGTAGAACTGAAACACAAAGTAATAGCATATAGGACAGAAGGAGGTTAGGAGAATTAAATTTGTTTTTAAGTTCAGCCACAGGCTCCACCCAAAGTGCATGACTGTTTTATTATTGGTCCTATGCTTAGAGTCCCATTTGTGCTTTCTGCTCCATTTAAATTCTTTTGCTTCCTAGGTTTCCCTCCCCTGGGGTATCTTAGTCCAATACCACCTACTCCAGGCTCCCAGAAGCCAAGTCAGTGCCAACTCCCAGATTCCCCATTCTCTTGCTCAGAGCGGTAAGTCAGAAACAGAGTCGTTATGAATCCAACCTCTGTGGCTGTCCCCAAAGTCCCTTCATGCTCTTTACAATTTCCCACTTGAGTATTCACACTGACTTCAAGTTTCTCTAAGAGTGCCAGGAAACACTTCAGGAATACACAAATTCAACCACCTACAGAACTGCTTTTCCAAGGTGTTTTACTTTGTTGTTTTCTTTGCTGTTGTTGCCCTGGTTTGGGTTAGGACGTTTTTACTGAACAAAAATTTATCAAGAAATACATGTGTGCACTTCTCAGTATATGTTGTATTCAATATATATTGTTTCTTTCAATTAAGATATTGATGAAAAGGCGTTGATATTGTACAGCATAAGGAAGAAATTTTGTTAGAATGTGACTTGCTTTGTAAACTTTCCTCTGCCTCAGTCATTTGCACAACAAAATCATTGAAATATTCACTGGAGGAGTGGAGCCTTCTCCATTCTGTACATCCTGCTTTTGAGTTATTGATATAGTCTAACAACAGGTTGGAAAGCCTTTTGTTAATTTCATTCACTAAATCATCTATACTTCTACTTTCTGGTGAATATCTAAAAGCCATATGTGAAGAATTTTTTGACTGGGTAAATTTGGCTTATATGCATTGCTGTTCCTACCTATTGAGGCAGATTATCAAACATTGTCTGGAAAAATATGCTCAGAATTTGAACGTACACTCAAGTCTAGGTTTATGAAATGAGAAATATATTTATTTTGTGAGAAATAAATGCACAACATTATCTTAAAACTATCCTGAGAGTGAATATTAAGTTGAATCATGCAAAAGGGGTGATATTTCACCATTTTGATCTATAAAAATAGCAATTATGTGTAGACCAAACATATGCTTGTTTTTCCCACAAAACAATATAATTTATATTTTGTTCATATATGTTTTTATAACATCAGTTAGAATATGGAAATATTTTTCTTTCTTTCTTTTTTTGAGAAGGAGTTTCGCGCTTGTTACCCAGGCTGGAGTGCAGTGGCACGATCTCGGCTCACCGCAAACTCTTGCCTCCTGGGTTCAGGCAATTCTCCTGCCTCAGCCTCCTGAGTAGCTGGGATTACAGGCACGCGCCACCATGCCCAGCTGATTTTCTGTATTTTTTTTTTAGCAGAGACGGGGTTTCACCATGTTGACCAGTATGGTCTCGATTTGTTGACCTCGTGATCCACCCGCCTCGGCCTCCCAAAGTGCTGGGATTACAGGCGTGAGCCACGGCGCCCGGCCTGAATATTGAAATATTTTTCTAACATCGATTTTCAGAATGTGGTAGCCAGTTCTCAGGTGGGAAAACTCTCCGTGGTATGCATTCAATTGAAAATCAGATTGAGAGAAAGCTTTTGAAAAATTTCCTTACATGGAATTTTTGAAGTCTTATTACTTGTCCCTATGTCTTCACAGAAATAGAAGACAGAGCCCTATTTTCTTTCAGTTTTGAATCCTCAGCACTGAGAAGAGCTCAGAAGTAGTAGGTAGTCAATAAATACTAGTATGAATGAACAAATGAATGCCTTCATTTTTATAGCTGATGAAAAAAGAAACTATAAATTGAATACTCACTATATTCTATACACTTTATACATTTAAAATATTAGAAATTCTGATCATGAAGATAACATGCTTATTATAAATAACTTCAAAAATTTCAGAAGTATGTAACAGTGAAAGTCTACCTAACCCAGGTCCCAAGGGTACTGCTATTCAAATAGTGACTATTCCTCTGGATTTCTTTCGAACATGTGTTTTTATATTTCATACATTTAAACTCATCCTTGAAACCAAAATTCAAGCCATTGATTTTGGTTTAGTATTGCTTTTCTCTTTCATCATGGCTACTTTTGCCTACTGGCGAAGTTCAACCCCTTCTTTTCAGAAGTGATGTGGATGTTTGAGATATGCCTTATGTATAAAATCTAAGAGTTGGTTCTCTAATCTTGTTCTCACAAAATTTTTATGAGTAGGCATTACTAACCCTATCCTTAATGAAAAATAGCAGGGCTCAGAAATATTAAGGAACTTGTCTGGAGTTGCACAGCTAGTTGAATATCTGGACTTGCTCCACTAAAATACCTGGCTTACATTGACCTTGGCTTGTCTTTTCTATATAATGGCAAAATGCAAAATGAAAAGTATTTAGCTATTCTAGACATACAGAATTAGTATTATCCGTTTACATGGAATCATTGAGTAAACTTTCGGTTTTCACATTTGTCATAAACTAAGAGTAATGTTTGACTTTAAATTTGAATATAAACACTGTAGTTTAATGGAAAATAAAGGCAAAACACAAATGGGTCAGTTTGGTGAGACAAAGTCAGCATGTGACACTAGCTAGAGTGAAAATAAGCATATAGAGCTGAAAGTTTTTGTTACACCAGAAGAAGTGAAAAATATTAAACATAATATTCAAAAGAGAAAAAGGTTAAATCATATGTTCCAAGAAAAGATACATTATAAAATCAGTAATAAAGTTATTAGATTAAAAAGTTAAAGGATGCAAGCAGATTTAGCTAGAGATCCAGAGCTTTGCAATTTCCTTCTCACTGGTATTACTTCTGTCATCTAAAAAGATCACATAAATTATTTATTAACATGTGCAGGGTGAAAATGCTTATTTGTAAATAATTACACATTAATTTGCTCTTCTGCCTCAAATGCCTGGCTTTCTGTATGTTATCCAAGAGCTAGTCTGATAAAGGAGAGAATTCCTAAGGCCGTTACAGAAGAAAAATGGCAATACTTTCTAAACCTTCAGAAACAGAAAGCTGTGGGAGGCTGCCTAATCATTTGTCTTACAAACGGAGCATATGTTCACATACTGGTGTCTTATAAACCTGAAGGCATCAACTGCACTTGTCACTAACTCCAGCCCAATATTTGTTTTCAATCATTTCTAACCCAAGAGGCCCGGACTATACAAATCCAATTTAAAGGCTAACAAAATTGTCTTCGCATCTCTGTATTGCAACATGTTATCTATCTCATATACAGGCCTTTACTGTCTCTCTGATCTGGAAGCACCTGTTTTGTTTCAGCCTTTCACTAATTGTCTAAAAACAGTTGTTATCAACAATTTAGGCATGTTTATGATGCCCAGTTTTTAGAGTTGATTTGCTTTTCCCTCTAACTTGGACTGTAATGATTTTTGTTTTCTTTGATGCAAAGGAAACTACGAGAGATCCCGCTAAACAGAAAATTAATAGATCTGAATTGGTAATCAAAGCAGTAGCCCTTCCTGGGAGCGGGTGTGGCAGGAGCTCCTAGGCATGGGATTTGAAGATAGGTCTCCCATAAGTCCAGACTAAGGCAGATTACTCATCCCTACTCTTCCTTTCTCCTAAGTGGGCGTGTGATTACCTATTCCATGGTATCATTGTGAGGATCAAATCAAAGTGGTGTAATAGACAAAACAATTGAATCATACATGTGAATGTCTTCCACAGATATTGATTTGACTAGTTTCCACTTGGCAAAAATACAATGTTGACCTTTCCCCTCCCTGGAGGGGAACTTAGGGTACAAAATCTTGAATTTCAGCTTACCAGGTTTTTGCACTTGCCAAAAGAAATTATAAAGACAGTTTGGCTCCTATCTTACAGATAGTGCACTAAGAAATTGGGTCCATTGCTGTCATTTTCCTCTCAGATTCCTTTCATCTGTCACAACACAGTAGTTATGAAAAATGAAACCATAAATTCAATTTAGAGGGCAATTTGCAGCTAATCTTTGGAGTAATTCCAGTGTGAATAATGCAGCAATTTGGATGCATGGTCAGTCAATTCAGCTCTGATTTATTAGTATTTAAGAAATCTTTCTTTCATTAATGATAATTACTAAACAAGAGAAAATAATTTCTCCAAAATTGTCTTACCTTCCTATTGGGCTTTCAAGTTCTGAAAAACGGTTACAGTGTTTGTTAAAATGATGAAGAAAATGTTTTGTTATTTAAAGATACAAGGTATGTTTAGATTTCAGCAAAGCTCTTTCCAGCTCTTGTGTGAACTGCTTGGCCCTAGGTTATATCTGCCTTTTTTTCTGATATGACTCCCATTAGAAAGAACATTTTGAATATCTCAGCAGAAGGATCCTGGGATTTGATATTGATTTCCAGCACTCCAGGATGTATTAAAATCTAGCTGCAAAAAGAATGACATTTTTGTTCTTGTCTAACAGTCAAGTTTATTTGAGATTTTTTCCTAGTTATTAAAACTCCACATTCTGACACATCCAATATACCCTGAGTCAGTGCACTTACAAGCATATGCTTAAATAGAGGGTAACATCACATTAAAATCTATAAAGAGCAGTCCTCAGAAAATGTTTACATTCATTTTCTTTTTTATATTTTATTTCATGAGCTTTAACTGCTGCATGTTTAACTATTGAAACAGGTATTTCCAAACAAACCAAAACAAAACGGAAAGATATAATGTCTTTTCTTTTTAAAATGTTTTTTGCTTTGTTCTAAAAAAACAAAAACTTATTTTCTATTCATCCTCCCCACTCTACTTCATCTGTCTAAAAGTCAGGGCCATGAATCGTACAGATTTTGTATTATTCCATTAAGCAGGGACAGTACTTTCAGTCCTAGGCATATAAAATCCCCTTCAGTTCTGGCATTCATTAAAATGAAGTAAATAAACAAGAGATGAGTGATGGCCCCAAGGTTGTAGTGGTGAGCCATGCCATTAAAGGTGTTACATAATGCAAGGACGGGAGGGCATGTACTGGAAAGATGTCATTGATAGTGCTGGGTCAATTGCTTTGTGAATTTGATGGTATTCCATTATAAGCAATGTAATTTACATTGCAAACTGGTCAATATTATTGTGGAATTTTTCCCAGAGGTTACATATTCATAACTTTATTTATAATAGGTATTCAGTAAGCAATGAACATAACCATGGATGGGAGAAGAGAGAGCACATTAACGTTATATTCACTGTTTGGCTTTAAGTGACATGAATTGACAGTACCAAGTCCAAATGATTCCTGTAACCAAATGAGCTGGCTCTCTGGCATTCATGCCCCCGGTTAAGCTCATTAGTAGATGGTGGGTGTGTTTCTCTCTCTGTGGAAATCATGCTCTTGAATATAAATTCAAAACTCTCCATCAGAAGAGACAGAAAACTCTACTCTTTAACTCTCTACACATTTGTTTGCTTGCTTCTGGCTGTTGTCTCTTGACTTTCTAAAATGAGGTCTGGGGTTGAGGTTAAACCCAGAGTAGCAAGGAGACGATGTGTGTGTGTGTTTAGAAGTGTCTTAGCCTGAGTCTCAGCCATTTCTCACCTGCCATGAGTTAAAGGTCAATTCTCTTAACAGATGACACTGAGAGGATGTTACAGCCTTATTTTCATTTCCTCCTCTAAACAGCAGTAGTTTTCAAAAATTCCTCATACACAATGGTATCTTTATTCTTTTCAATTTCATTCTGTAAAATATGACATAAGTTTCTACCAGAACCAATTTTGTATTGGCTCAATTATGTCTAATGATTTGCATGTGTTTAATTTCAATTCATTAGTTGTTGCTTTGTATAGAAAGAAAGCAAAGTTTTGTTATGTTTTAATTTTCTGTTGTCCACAAAGGCAGGTAACTGAACACTTGAGGGTGTTTACACTTTCTCTTGCATCAGAAGAAAATACTTTCTCACAAGACTCTTGATTATTCAGGACTCAACCATCGCCAGCATCCTGAGGCTGAAGTTCAACTATCAGGCCAGAGAATGTTTGGAGGCACAGATTTATTTTTTGTCAACAAGAGCTATGGTGTGGTTTTAAATTTGGTCCAGGCAGCTCGGAGGAGTCTTTTTCCCTAAAATCTGTAAAAAAAAAAAAAAAGAAAAAAAAGTTAGGTTTTGTTTGCGTTAGCCTAAGTGGTATTTGCATAAATGTAAATCCTTGGGTATCTGAATAATTTTTTGAAGCATTGTTTACTTTACCTGAAATCCTATGGACTAATTTTTGTCACTTGTTTGCTTATTTTGAAAGTGAGGCTTAGCATGTCTGTTTATTTGGTTAGCTAAGTTCAGGTCCTTTTAAAGTAGAAATGGTTGCTTGTTTGCTTTAACTATATAGAGTGGTGATTTTTTTTTTTTTTTTTTGGCCTACTCTAGCATGTGTTTACTTAAGAAAGTTTCTCATGTTGCACCTTAGGTTTACTTTTTCTGAGCCTTTTTAGGTAAAATATGTCATATCTGCATTTCTCTAAGTCCTGCCCTCTGTGTTGCTCCCAAACATCATCCCCTTCTTGTCAGAACTAATTAGTTCATTATTTGTCTTCTTTAGCCCTTTTTCATTATTATCATTGCATTTTTAACATATGTTTAATTTTCTGATATCTGCTCTAAACCTCATTGAGCAAGGTCTAACTCAATTCTGGCCACTGGCAGTGTTTATAGTGTGTGATACGTAGTAGGCAATCAATATGTGTTTGTACAATTAAGGTTTTTTTCAGCCTTGAGGTACAACTGAAAACACAACTGTATGTATTTAAAGTGTGCAATGTGATGATTTAAGTATTTATTGTGAAATAATTGCCATGACTAAGTCAACATGTCTATCACCTCACATAATTACCTTTTTGCAGGGGTATGAATGAGAACACTTAAGATCTACAGTACTCTCATAGCAAATTTAAAGTATACAATACAGTATTCTGAACTATAGGCACCATATTTGTACAACTAGGTTTCAATTTCGCATATTAACAGCTCTTAGGGGATGCCTGTGGTCATCATTTGTATTGAAGTGTATGATCTGTGGAAGATGAGAAGCAGTATCACCTGGAAGCTTGTTACAAATGCAGAATGGCAAGCCCCACCCTGACCTAATGGATCAGAATATGCCTGTTTTTGAGATCCCCAAGTGATTCCTCTACATGAAAGTTTCAGAAACATTCTTTAGCTCAGTGTTTCTTAAATAGATCTTTAGATCAGTGGTTCCTGGGCTAGCAGCATTAATATCACCTGATAACTTTTTAAAAAGACAGGTTCTACGCTTCAATTCCAGATATAGTAAATAAGAAATTCTGGGGAAGGCATAAGAGCAGCAAGCTTTCCAGGCCATTCTGATGCACCCTAAAGTGTGACAGCCACTGTCCAAAAGTCTTCTTTTTATCAGTTTCTCTTGAGAAAATAAAGAAAAATAATACCTGGTGTGAACTATGATAATGCAAAGTAGATTTTTGGCATGAATTACGTGACTTAAATATTACTTCACATAGCAACTGTAGATCTGGCCAATAAAGTCACTGATGCAAATTTGAGACTGGAAATGGGTATGCATAGATAGATAGCTCCATTTTTATATATGTGGATGTGTGTGTGTGTGTATACATATATATCTTTAAAACACAAATATCTATTTGTGACTCTAAAATAAGTTCATTAAGAAAATATTAGCTCCTTTGTAGTCCAAGCTATTAATTTAACCCATGAGAACATCGAAGCTAAGACAGTTTGTGGTTTGTCCCAGATCACAGACATAATAACACCTAAGTCAGTGTTTGTTCCAGCTTGCCATTTTGTCAGATGTCTCAAGTTAATTGTTTCTGGCCATTTTTTTTCTTAATGAAACTAACATTTCCATAAAAATGTTATAAATGGATGGAATTTGGGGACTTTGTATAGCAACACTCTTATTTATATAGGGGGATACTAAGGTTTAGAAGAAATATGAATACTTTTATATTGCCGTATAGTTAGGATTTCTGAGCAAACTAAAATGACATGCTATAAATATAATTTATAAATAATACTCGAAATATTTTTCCAGATCCATTTGTTTCTCATTCTAAGGGCCTTAGAGCCAGAGATGCTTGGTTCCTTTATGATAGAACCATTTGTTTTTGTTCAAAGGCTAATAAAACCTATTGCCTCTGGAACCAAATGCTTGCCTTTTCTTCCCAAAGACTGTAGGAAGATAAAGTTTCTCTCTTTCTCTGGAGGTTGGCAGATGAGAGGGCAGCATGCAGCTGATATAAAGTTCCACATTTATAATTTTGAAATTCCTCTCGTGGCAAAAATAAAGTAAAAAAAAAAATGAAAAGAAAAACTTTATTATGCATAAGATATATCTGATTTCTTTGTATTGCCCTGAGGGGGGGATATCAGGTGTGGAAAACAAATATGGTTGGTGTTATAAATAATAATAGTCTGTCCCTGATCCAGAAACGGTGTTTGCTTTTATTAGAATATGAACAAATTTATATATATATATATGGTGTATCAGGAGGCTCACAGAGAAGAATTGACCCACCTGAAACTCACTTTATAAATGCTGCAAAATGGGAAATGAGTCTTTCTTATCTGTCCTGTTGTAGATTTATTGTGCTGTGCTTTTGCTTGGGCTTTATCTTAAACTCAGCTGACAAGGTACGTAAATGGCTAAGCAAATATTCAGACTGTTTAAATCATTCAGTCAGCAAGCCAAGTTCATTTAAAAAAAATAACATTATTTCATTCTTAATACAACTAAGGTTTCACATGATCCTGTTGAATTTAATGTTCAGGAAGACCTAGGATTTTCCTCTCATACCTGCTCCTCTCTTATAAGCCTCAGTTCACGTGGAGAATAGTGATAATATTTGCATTTTATTAGTGTAATAATTCACATTTTATAGGAATTAAATAAGACAATAAATGCCAAAATTTCAAGTTTCTGGCATATTGTGAACTGTCACCATTCTAGATTTACTCCCTAATGTTACAAATAAAGTAATAAGTCTCAAAGTGGTTTCTCAGGGTTCATGTTGATAAGAGAGAGGGGCAAGAAAAGAACTTAATTTTAGGCTCATGGGTCAACGTTCTTTTCCTACAGTAGTCAATCTTCTTAACATATGAGCATAACTAGCCAAGCCCTCTGTTGAGTTCTAATAAGGTAATGAAGAGGTATTTGAATGAGAGAGAAAATGATTCTGGGTATCTTTTATGTTTGGATGTGCTTTGTCCTCACCAAAACTCATGTTGAAAATTGATTCTCAATATGACAGTATTGGAAGGTGGTGCCTAGTGGAAGGTGGTTGAATCATGGGTACACCACCCCCGTGAATAGATAAATGCCATCTTTCAGGAGTGAGCAAGTTATACTCTTGAGGGAATGGATTAGTTCCTGAGAGCGTATCTTGATATAAACAAACCCAGCCTCTCCTGCATACCTTTTTTTGTGTGGGCTTTCTGCCGTAAGTTGAGTAGCACTGGACTCTCACTAGAGAGGCTGCCTGGTCTTGGACTTTCCAGCCTCCAGGATTGTGAACCAAGTAAACTCCTTCATAAATGACTCAGTGTCAGGTATTCTATTATAATAACACAACACAGAGTAAGACAGCATTCAGTTGTGATGAAGGAGGTACTGAGAAAGATAAGTGCAGACAAAAATGGAAATAAAAATATTTTTGATTGATGAACTTAAAGGTTTCCTCTTGCCTAGAATGAGATTTCACTATTGATCTTATAGACTCCCTTTTAATCATGTGAAAGAGGCTGAGTCTCATCAAGTTAAAGGAAGTACATCCCTGTTTTCCAAACTCTAAGAAAAATTACCTCCTCATATGGTTAATTTTCTCATAGTTGAAGATATTGGAGTAGAAAAATTTCAGTTCTTTGTGGGCAGGGGGATATATCTTTGGTTGACTAATCAAAAGCATCATCTTAAATGTGGATTCATTAAAAGTGATATACAAATACCTTAAATTTTTATTTTATAACAAATGTGTAGTATGTACACTGATTTGATAAAAGCATCAGGACTGCTTTTGCTTTTGCCTTTTCTGCAGAAACCAGGCTTGTGTAACAAACACACACAAATGACTTTTGAGTTTGGTTTTACTCTATGGTGCAGTGGGAACTTGCCAATGCTAGTGACACAATCCAAGGGTAAATATCTAGGTAGTTTTTATAATTCTTCTTAGTCTTTCATAATTGGTCCACCTCCAACTAATGACAGCATAATTTTGTTTACATCTCTCCTTTTTGAGGATTTCTCAAAGCATTCATAATAGTTATCATGAAGCAAAATATTTATACTTATTTATTAGTTTATAAATTTTAAAATTAGGTAACTACAACATGAAGTGCAACTCTCATACATGAGTCTGAGATCAAAGAAAACTGACTCTTAGTAAGCATAACACTCAATTGGAAAGTACATATGTGCACTGGTGTTCTAGGGAGACAAAAGAAAGATAATTGTGATTACTTATTTCATTCATTTATATTTCCTTGGCACTTAGTGAAAAATGGATATTTTTAACACAAATTCTCACAAAAATTTGTCAATGCCAAATCTCAATATACTAAATTTAAAAAGACACATCATGTTTGATTATTTTTAGGCTAATAAACTTATAAAGACATAGTTTTCAAACCTTTATAATCCCATCACCTCTTTTAAGAAATAAATTGACACTAAATTTTTTTCTGTATTGGTCCTAAAATATTTATGATTTTCACTTTGTTCTAAGGTAATTTTAAAATAATCTATGTTAATGCTATACACTAACAAATTCATTGCTTATACCATCAAATTCACATATTATAATATATTCCCTGACAGTGATTTAATCCTCTTCAAACTAGGTTACACTCAGGTTCACTCGTTAAAAAAGTAAGTTTCTTCATTTTTAAATCATGTAAGTATAGAGATAATATTCATTTCATAAAAGCATTGAGATGATTAATCAATGATTTCTAAGTGTGTCACAGATAGAAATTGCAGAATTCAGCAATGAAAATTATAAATTATAATTATTATCACCCTTCACCCCTGTGAAGATAAATTTGAAATTCCAGATGGGTTAAGTTCGATGCCTGAATAATAAAAA